ACATCTCAACAGTGAGCATGCGCTGGATGATAGAAGTACAGCCCAATGTAGAGTACAAATGCAGGTTGTACAGCAGTTAGAGCTACAGGTAAAATAAAATTTATTTTAATATTACCTCAGTATTAATCAAATCCAATTCTCGACAGCAATAAAAAATGAGTTCTGCTTTTCCCCCTATGATTGAAAACCAGCTTTCAAAACCTTCTTGTAGTAGTTTTAAAAACCGTCAAAAGAAACTGCAGCTTCATTTCCTCTTTTCTAAACCGTAACTTGAAAAGAAATAGGAAACTTAAACAGGCTGACTGATTGGAAATCCATCAGTATGTATCTAATGCTTTTTATACTCACCCGGGGTGGGGGGCGGAGGGGGGCGAGTGGAATATGGTGCCCTTCATTTAGAGTGGTTGATGCACGGGGGAAATGGTTGATGTTTATTTCAAAACGCTGCATGACCTGGCTTGTTTGGTGGTCTCTCATGTACTAATACTCTCCATGTATTCTTCTTCTTCTTACTACTACTACTACTACTATTATTTTTTGCCATTTGTAGCAAATAATTTTTCTTTAAAGTGCCAAAAGGGGGTAAATTGGAATATATTGAATGCGATGCAAAGGTATGACCTCATTAAATGTGTAACTGCCTTCCCAAATGCTTTTGAGTCCTTTCTGTCTCCCTGCACCTCACTGCTCTGGCCGGGCGGCTTTGACAGTGTGTCTGTGTGTAGGCAAGAGGTTAGCACAGAAGGGGAAATTAAAACAATGTTGTACATTATATAGTTACCAGCTATTGAAAAACCTATTTTGTATGCAAGACAGCAGCGTAGAGATATATGGAAAGCCTTGGGCTAAGTACAGAAGATAATTACATTTGGAATTTTACTGAGTTAAGTCATTTATAGCTTCAAATAGTTGGAGAGAAAAATCAGCAAAAACACACTTAAACTTCTTGTTGTTACTTTTCAAGATAAGCATTTTTAAAAATGCCTTTTATCTTCTTATCTTACAAATTACCCTTTTTCTTTCATAGATATTTCCTAAATTTTACTTTCAGGAACACGCTGGTCATGACACTCTAAAAAATTTCACTATTAGCTGAAGCAATATAAACTATTTTAGTACAAGTTTTATAAAAATCAAACTACCAGTCATAAAATATCAAGAGTCTTGCAGAAAATGTTACGAGAAATGGTCTGTTATTTTAACAAGTTTCTCGGGAATTAGGAAAAAAGAATAAAAATCTGTAGTCTTCCTGGTAAACCGAGATATGAGATAATCTTTTACCAAGATGCAGTAACATTCAGGCTGAAGGTAAATCTAAATTCTTCAGTTACAGTCAGCTTGAAAAGCATTAATCCTTCTCTCCTGCAGCCACTAGGAATGGCTGTGCCTGGAACTACAGGAGGATGCACTGTGTTAACAGTGGGGCAGGGCAGAGATGATACTTGGTTACCACCTCTCCATAAGCTCTTGACGATATTTTTCAAAGATTTATCAGCAGTGCATTCTACTGATGGTTATGAGTGACTAATGGTTCCAGCTTCACACGGATTCAGTGCCGGGGAATACCTACCTCTTGGCTTAGAGTCATCGCATGGGAAGGCAGCATGCGGTCCCCAGGCCAAGAACATAATTTCAAAGTAGTGTGTGGGTCAAAAAGTTCTGGATTTGTTTTTAACAGCCATACTAGCACAGTAAATAGGATGAACTGGAAGCTTAATTTAGACAGGGATGTTGATAGCAGAGTGAGACCATCTATGCATTGGCTAGCAAGGATAGGTGGAGGAGGAGAGTGGTCCTGCTTCTGAAACATATCTGTAACTCCCCTCTTCTCCCTCTCCTTTCATCCTATGTCCTCTGATGCTTTAATAAAAAAAAACAACCCAAAAATCTGCCTAAATATATACGAGGGTTTGTCCCCCAGTACCTAGTGTATCTGTCTGTGACCTTTTTTGCCCAGAGCCATATTAAAACAAAAGCCTGGCCCAATAGCAGGGTTTTCAATGACACGGTCTGCAGCGCCCGGCGTATTGTAGCAGGAGCAGTTGGACTAAGACCGTTGACCTGATGCTCCCACAATGGAGCAGTTACCAACAGAGTGGCAACAACAAGCCCTGTGGGCGACTGAGTTTGGTGAGCTAGCTAGAGGAGGGACCCCATAGCCTTTCCCACTTGACCCGTGGTGCTCAGCACTCAGGAGAAGCTTTGCCTTCCAGCGGAGCTGTGAAGTGTCACACGCTGTTCAGGGTCCGACACCACGGCAAGACCCAATGCTGCACCGTTTCATGCCTACACAGCCCCATGCAGACAGGGGTAGAATTCAACAAATCCATTTCACCCGAGGAATGCGCTTCAGGTTCTGAGTGTGATGGACCCAAATACAAGTTGTATTTTTATTATGCTCATATTTATTTTATGCAAAATAGTTTTATCGGTGTCATAGACAGTCTTTTAAAAAAAGTAATTTTTAAATGAAAGAAAAAAAAAACAGGTCAGATCTGTTTTCTATTTGATTGCAAATGCCCCTTTGCAGAAGCATCTTAAAGCATGGGTCTCGGGTCTCGGCATTTCCATCACAAACATTGAAAAAATATCACAGACAAGGTAGAGATCTTCTCATATATCACTTTGTTTAAACCATCTTGACATGATCATTTGTTGCCATTATAAATAGTGAGAACTGGGCTGCTGGGTAAAACACAAACACAGGAACATATCCCTATCCTTAGCTAGTTCTTAGCTGGAGTAGGACATCCATTTTGCAGTACCATCTTTGACTGGAAAAAACATTTCAGGACAGCAACGTTAGGCTATGGTAAGTTTAAGAAAGTATCTCCTAATGGGAGAAAATTAAGCCGGCCGTTTTCAGCGTAGTGAAAATGCTGCTTGGGCCTGTGTTCCTAAGGCATCCCTTGACACTCTTGAAAAGTGGATCCTAAACCTTTCCAGTGCACAGCCTAACTAGGCATGTAACGAGAGGGAAGAGGCTATGTCTTGGTTGTCTCTTGCATCACCCATGACTGACTTCTTTGTCCTTGATCTGTCCAAAATCCTGCTGCTGATTACCCTTCCTGTTGATGTGGCCACGTTGCTCCTGTTGAATGCCCTCCTTGGGTTTCCATTTTCCTGCTCCTTGCCATTATTTTCTGTTTTCCTTCCTGTGCAGTTTCTCCATCCTCTGTGCCTACTAATGCCTTCTCTCTTGCTCCTTGGTCGCCAGACTCCCATGCTGCCCCCTCGCCTTGAGCCCCTTCTGCCCTGCTCTTTCTGTGCCTTCCCCCTCCTGCCTTTTCTACCTGTGTAGTTTTAGGATTTAACCTCTCCCGGGCAAGGCACGTGTCTTGGTGTCCAGGTTTGCAACGCATGTACCTTGCTGTGGATGTGTTTTCTGTTGGACCACGGTTAGGCACCTACCTCGTGGTTGTAACCCACAGAGGTGAGGGACACCTCACCAAATCAGGCTTATCATGAAGGACTGGGTGGCCAGCTGAAAACTCCCACCATGCAGACAGAGCTTTCCAAATGGATATAGGAAAAAAGAAGGAGGCTGCAGATGGGACTGTATTGCAGTCCTCACGTCCCCTGTAGAGAGCAGATCCTTTCGTACATGGCAGAACAGTCTTTGCCCAAGAACACTATCAGTCGATCAGGAGCATTTTCCTGCATGTCTACTAATAATCCCCATTTCTGGACCATCTGCACCCCTGTGAGTGCCACCAGTGAGGATTTGCTCCCATTGGTGGCCAAGCGAGCCCTCATGGCTTCTTCTGTATGACCCCACTGACCGGAGGGGCTACTAGTAACATTCTGGTTTTATATCACTACTGCTTCCTGACCTAAGGGAAAAACAGTTTAAAGAAATTCTTTGGATTTTTTCACTTCTCTTCAGTGCTTTGAAACTGAGAGACCTCTATTTTTCATAATTTAAACTCCTGCCTAACTGGGTGAGTGTTCGAATTCCTAGACTATGACAAAATGCTAGCGTGTGTCTGCCTGAAATGTCGAGAGGATCTTGAATAACCTCCATCCACCAGAAACGGCGTTAAAAGCCTCGCTAAGATGATGAGTGAAAACACTACAAACGAGGACCCCGGCCGTTCGGAGGGAGGTGCGCCGCTCCGTTCCGCCGAGGGGGCCCGGAGGAAGCGCTGCAGGGTGTGCCCCGTGCTGCCCGGGTGCCTTTCCCTCCTGCCGCCCCGCTGGTGCAGGCAGGGAGCTTTCAGGTGCTTGCCTTTTATTTATTTTGGCTAGAAGATGTTATCCTTCCGCAGTAGCCTGCAGACCAAAATTTAATGCACAGATGACCCCGCCAAGCGGCCCGTGTGCCCGGCGGCTGCTACGAATGAGAGATTGCACAACAGAGCTGCCCTGAGCCTACAACTGCTTCTCAGTTTTAATTTGTTTGGGCGAAGCAAGGCAGCTGAGGGGTGAGACCTCTCCTTTCTCTGAAGAGGTCCTCGGAGGACTCTCGGAGGGAGAAGTTTCTGCTGCATGCAGCGCTACGATAAGAGCCCGTGGCTGCCCTATGGCTCTGCTGTGAAGTCCAGCGCAGATCTGGTGATGAGATTGCAGGAGATCTGCTGTAGGTGTCAGGTTTTCCCTCTTGCCATTGAGGTTTTTGACCCAGAGAAGGGCAGCCGTTTGGAAAGCCCAGTGATTTTGGTTTTGCACTTCCAGAGCATGCAGTGGTGAAACCATTTTTTTCCTTTATTTAATTCCTGTCTTGGAAACCCGTGTGCCAAGCTTTATCCCATCATGACACCTTCCTGGCACGGTCAGAAACCCCTCGCCTTGCGAAGAGCAAGACAACCTGGACTGTAGGGTTATGAATGGGGATTTATGACCATGTCTCCTTTTATATACACTTAGGCCAGCTTTACTGCTACAAACAGATGATGGTGATAAGGTGGGCAGGTTGTTTAAAGTTTTGCTGGAATGCGAGCCCGGTCTCCTCTTGGCACCAGGAACCTGGCTCATCTAAAGCAAAATCTCAGCTCTGCAAAAAATGTCATTTGTAAGAACCTGATCCGAGTCCTGCTGGAAACAGGAGCCTTATAGGTTAATGACACCCCTTTTTCGTTAGCCTTGTTTCTTAATATCTTTCCACTGTATTTTTTTTTTTTTTTTTTTTTTTTTTGAAGAGCAGCTGGAAAAAGTCCTATTCGTACATACAAAAAAAATTTCTTGTTTCCAAAAATAATGAGCTTTAGTGTCTGGCCAGTTCCTTCTGAATGCATTGGGAAGCCATCCTGGCCAAGGATGTGTACGGTGTGATCCCAAGACACCAGCTGTGGCCTGGTGCAGATCTCAACCGAGACATCGAGAGTGGGAGCTCTGCCCCCAGCTCTTGGGCATGATGTGACCGATGAGAAGGGGTGAAAGCATTGGTCCTGCGACGTTGGGTGGCCCGAGATGAGTGCTCTGGGGCGGTTCCTGACGCCGTTAGCCTTTCCCACCTTGCTGCCCTCAGGCGTAGGCCAAAGGGATGCTGGCAACTGGCAACTCACGCTGCTGCTCCTGCCCGATGCTCGGGTGCTCCGGCTC